ACAGTTCAGTATCACAGAATCAGACGACATAGGAGGAAATCCGTACCCAATTATGATCCACTATCTGCTGGTTTTGACTCAACCGGCGCATCTTCAGAAGCAGAAGATTGCTCGTCTATAGATGTACCCAACTGGGCAGATTTCTTAAATTGCACAATGATAATGGTCATATTGTCACAACCCTCACCTCTAGCAGTTGATGGCGCGAGACACCTATGAAGTACTCTTTCACAGACAACAGAGAGTTTATTTTCCTGCATAAGCAAATTTCAATTGTCAAATGCAATGATTCAGATAGAAGCCAACAATACTTTAGTCTAACTAAAGTGGCGTAAACACAGTATTCAAGGACTTACGGATTTCAGCTCCTCACGAATAAAATCTACTAGTTGTTGGTTTGACATGCAATCCCTTGAAGCATTAAGAAAAATGAAACTTGATTAGTAAGTCTGGTATCGGGCATTCAATAATCACAAACAGAGGAACTAATCGTAGGAACAAGAGCAAATGGGAACTAATAAGACCGTATGGCAAGCCAATGTCAGCATTCAATCCAGACAGACTGAGCTTCACAGACCACCAAAAACAAGAAATTCTTACTATATCGCGGTTTTCAATGAAGTAGTAAGTTTATATGGGTATTTTGAAGAAATCGTTACACAATTCCTTTTCATATAGAAGTGATATTTTTTGAGGGAGTATCGGTCTAATCAGTTTCCTTTCAGAACATGAAGGAAAAGACCAGAATCCGGTGAGAAGATAGAGAACTGGGGGAAGAACTGTGCATTTTAAATGAATTTGATGGATAGATACGATAATAAAAATTACGAGAGGTGGAACAGACAAGTCAGAGAGAGCAACAAAATAATGAATTTCTAAGTCTGCAATATTCTGTGATTACTATTTCCTTAATCAGTTGAAGGGACTTTGACCTTTCCACAAAACAACTACCACATTAGCTTTCAAATAATTGAGATATGCAGCATACAGTTCAGCTTGATAACGGATGGCAAGGAATAAAATGTTCTTAGGATCCTCTAATAAAAACCCAATCAAAAAATGCAGCAGCAAGAAATTTGTAAAGAATACGTGATCGGTGCAACTGTTAAAAAAAATAAAACCCATCATAAGCCCATGAATGACACTAACAAATTCTATAAATATCCCATTTGGAAACGGACCAACATTTAAAATATCCCGATTAATTATTTCTGCATTGCCCTAATCCACTCTTGCAGAATCTGGTATATGAGTCCCCAAAAGATTAGTTCAGACTGCATACCAAATGCCATCACAAGCAAGCACAACGAACTCATCTTCTCCACAAAGTTCAACCTGGTTGAGAAAATTGAGAAAAATCTAAATTTACAGAAAGCAAAAGGCAATAATAGCACTTCACTATTGTACTCGTATAATAGAAGCGGAACAGAAAAATCCTGATCCTTGATCACAAGTACTGGTCAGAAAAATTAGATTCTTGAAACATAGTATGAATATTGTTCTTTGTTATTTTACAATCATTGGAACTTTTATTTCAAAAAAGCGTGGCATGAACCAAAGCTTTACTTTGTACAGTGACATTGAATGGTACCAATTTGCTGTTTTCAGTTTCTTGTGTATTTCATCATTGTAAAGTAGTCTCTGATTATTATAAATCTACTCAAAAGCCAACCATCGATCAAAGAAATGATTAGGTAAAAATATCAATTGATGATGATGTGCAGTGGATCTCAAATGTGCAGAATCCACTAAATTTGAATACGCAAACATCTTACCTCCTTTCTCTTATCCCAAAACTGAAATACGAATTCCAAGCTATCCAAAATCAAACTCACAGTTGCATCTCGAACACTGAGGTGCTAGAAACAATCTAATGTACGACTATAGGTTTAATACAGAAATTTCAGCAAATCCATTTCAAGATATGTAATTCCACTAAAACTTTTGAGTATCGTGGACCTAAAGTCTGCTGAAAGTATTGGTGATCGGTGGAGAAATTGGACCATGGTTTCTCTATTTCATCCTTTAGTTCTGCCGTAGATTATGGAGCTCCTCGGACTTCGTTCAAAGCCTCTAGGCAGTTTATCGAACATCATTGTCAGATTTACCGCGAAGAAGGGAAAATTTGTTAATATTATATGTAGACCTAATGATCTCCAGGTCTTCTTCTCCTTCTATACTTGTCCCTCCTATATCTATCAATAAATTCTTTATATTATACATCATTTTCAATTTTCAAAATGGATTGGCAAAGAGATAAAATGTGAATCTTGATAATTTCCACTAGAAGTTAGGGCTGTAAGCAAAAATCGTAAAACCGAAAAATCGAACTGAAACCGCATTTTAAAAACCGTTGGTTTGGTGCCACGTGGACTCGATCAACGAAATGGTTTTGAACCAAACCAAACCGGTCAAAATGGTTTGGTTTAGGTTTGAGAATTTTAATTGCGGTTTAAAACTAAACCGGATCGGCAAAAAATATATAAAAATAAAAAAATGAAATTTTTAAAAAATTCATCCAAATATATAAAATTCAATATTTTTGTCATTTGTGGGTATTTTTGTCAATTTCTACATATGTATTATTATTACCTAATAATCCTAATATATATCTAATAAGCTCGAAACTAGCATAGTATATCAACAGTCCTTTTCCTCTTCAGAATTCAGATGAACTCCAAACACCCGACATAGTCTTGAGCCATCGGCACCACACACACTTCTTCAGATTTTTTACGCCTCTTCAAAGTTGAATTGTAGTCCATTACACCAAATCAGAGATTGAGATCTTAGGCCTTCGGTAATAATATTTGCTACGAATGAAGTTTCAAATCAATAATTTTTTTGAGGAAGAATCTAAAATTAAATGCGTTTCGTAACAACATACAAACGTAAGTTTGTGTAATTGTTATGTTTAGATATTATAAACAACTGCTTTATTATTGTGGTTGGTTAGTCTTTTTGTTTAATCAGTAACTTTTTTTCAGATATGATAATTACGAGATCTTGTTGGATATCATTATGTTTTTTGGACCTTATATCTCGTTTAGTAGACTTGTATTGTAACATTATCATAACGTTTTTAGCCTAAAAAGGTGAACAAAAATGAAAAAAACTATATTTTAGTTTATTGTAACTTCACTTTATTTAGTAGATATTTAAATTTATAAGATATATATATTTAGCCCCTATTCGAGCCATATTTTACATGTTATCATAATGAGAAAAATTGACCGTTGGAGAGGAGGCTGCGTCCTACGCATGAAACATTAGGTCAACAAATGCGGTTGGACTTGTGGGATAATAGTCCAAATTTTCATTTTTTTTGTCCTAAAAATTTGGTTCAAACAAAGGCTTAGATTGTTTTAGATTTATTGCTAGAAAGATAAAAATATATATTGAATTCAATGAATTAAAGTCATAAAAATAGACAGACAAAAAAACATACGACGAAACCGACGGTTTAAAACCGAACTAAACCTTTAGGTTTAAATTTGAGTTTTTTTTTTTTAAACCGTTTAAATGGTTTAGATTTATTGCTAGAAAGATAAAAATATATATTGAATTCAATGAATTAAAGTCATAAAAATAGACAGACAAAAAAACATACGACGAAACCGACGGTTTAAAACCGAACTAAACCTTTAGGTTTAAATTTGAGTTTTTTTTTTTAAACCGTTTAAAATGGTTTGGTTTAGGTTTGGATTTTTCTCAAACCGATTTAAACAGTTTGATTTGAAAATTTGTCAAAAACCGGTAAAACCGGACCGCTTACACTCGTACTAGAAGTTGTAACAGACTAGGATCGCATCAGACAAACAAATTTGATTTCAAACTAATTAACTCGCAATTATTTAAGTTCTCCATTATTCTCACACATTATTCAATCAAAAATGTTTGTTAAACAAAATTGATAACTGTGCTATCATATAAGTAGGATGACATGATTTCCTCTCACCTTAGCATTACCATCCTAAAAAAAATCTTATTATATAAGTCATTAAATAATATAAAACAATGTCTACCTGAAAACATCCCCAAAATATTACATATTCCATTATCAAAGACCTCCATTAAAAATTCATAATTATACTTTCCTGTTTCTTGGTCGTGAAGTGTGCATGCTGCCAATGGAGCATGTGTCTCAAGGAGGCTTGTTTTAGGTGGATACAGAAATACTACATGATTATGATAGGTCCCAAGCAGTTACTTAACCATCAATGAATAGTTAAGGGGAAAGTAGTATGGGTATTTCCAAAAGAAAGGGTAGACAGCCAAAGAATGAAAGGGTAGCTAATGTGTTCATTTCATTCATGGTGAATTTCGAAACAAGTTGGGGGACAGAGAGAGACAATTCAAATGCCTATCAATTCTTTAATTTCATTCCATATGCATTAAAAAAAAAAAAAACCATTTACTTTCTGTTCTTTTGCTTCATGAACTTTGCTGCTACCTATCAGATTTCTAATTGAAACAGAGATAATTTTACTATAGAAAATAAAAATCCAGTCACCATAGGAAATGAAGGTGATACATACAATATTGATATCTGGATTAGCAGTTACAATTTGCTTGTCAGCCGGCAAAAACTTGTTCTGCTTGAATTCCATGTCACCTGCAACAGATTATATTACTGTTCAATCATCAGGAGCAACAGAAACTATTCTCTCATTTAGCCACAAGTCCGTGTGCATACAGTAAGAGCGTGTTTTATATGCAGTATTAACATTACCGATAACAGACCAGTTCTCTTTTGTTTTGTTCCAATACCGTTTAGTCCAGTACACTGAACATGCCATAAATATGTTTAATTTTTCCGAACACTAGACCACCGTATTATCTCAATAATATCTAGCTCAATCTGTTCAATAATCATGTTATGTAGTCTACAATGCATCTTACATGACAGATAATGAGTCAACTTATGGGCTTTCAGAGACTACTATTATTCCAAAAGTCCAAAATTAAAAATCGGTAAAGAAATCTTGAATAGCACCTATGGCTCTTGCAAGATTTAGACTGCCATTAACACGTCCTGCATGGATAAAACCCCCGGCTTTTAAAATTCTCTCTCTCTCAACCTCAAGATCAGGCTTGTGGTCTCTTGAAAGATTGTATGCCTGTGCAAAAAACACCATAGAAAAAATCAATCACCTCAAGACATTAAAAGAGTGCCAAGAAAACATTCACTCCAATACATATGTTGAGATTTGACACTTTCGGAAACCGTGGTAGAAGTAACTGTTGTAATATTGACTTCCTTGTTTACTAGTTCCCTTGTTTGTAGAGACAATTATGGTAAGTGTTAATAAGACAAATTATTGTAGGTATTGACACAGAAGATTAAACTAATGGGCAGATTTTGATAGATAATTATGACTTTCTGATAGTGGTCAAAGGTTAAATAGGTCTATTAACTATGGATTTCATTAAGAAGCATTGGCATGGACACAAACAAGTGATTTCTCGAATAAGTACAAAAAGACACAATAGGGACATGTTAATTTAAATTCTTTAAAATTGTATATGTGTTATATATGTGTGTGTGTGTGTGTGTATACACACACACACACACACACACACATGTATATATATATATATATATACACATACGTACACATCTTGGGATGTCCAAGAAGAGTCAGTGAACAACATGACACGGTGTATTGGATATGCACATGTTGCCATAGTAGAAGTGTCCATGTTTCATAAATAGGTATTTCCAAAGACAGAATAGTTAAAATACAAATTCTCTATTCGTCTTTATCTTCTCTATCTCAATTTCTTTTACACCATAATTTCTAACAAAAACAAATGTTGAGCTACATAACATCCATTTAAGAACACTCATACCTTCTCCTAAACGATATGCACTAACACTATCAGATATATTTTTACATTGTACATTACCTGACCATTCCTAGAAATTACACAGCGAGAATCACCAGCATTTGCAATGACAAGTTGGTTGTACCTAATGATGGCCACACAAGCAGTGCTGCCAGAAGTTGGTCCAGAAAAATCAGAGTGTGGCCCCTGCGTCAAAAATAGGCAGGTAAACCCCAGATGACAAACAATGATTAGAATCTTGATCCTAATGGTACTTGGTCAAAATCCACTCAACTGACAATTGCCAGAAGAACAGAAGAAGGAATAAACAATCAAATGTTTCCCCTCAAAGCAAATAATAAATGAAAAGAAAAACTAGTTAAACAAGTTGTCAATAAGAACATATCTTTCCAATAAATAAAAGTGAAGGAAGAGACAATAAGAGAACAATTATGAAACATACAAAATGTAAAATTTCATGAAAAGGTAAATAAGCTTTACATTGTGATTAGAAAATCATATACTGATCCTTTAGTGGCTTTTAAAGGGAAAAATAATAAAAAATAAAAAATAACGTAATTAATTTATGTCTACATCCATTGATACACATTTAGTACAATCAAGAAGAGTTTGAATTATATTTGCAAAAGTTCATAATAGTAAGGAATCTCTCCACTGCAAAGCAAATACATAATATCTAGAACCTTTTCCCACCACCGCGCTGAATACTAACTAAAAGAAAGGCAAACAACACTGACAAAGCTCCCCTTGTAAAACAGTGCACTGTGCACGGTAATTGCTTGAACAATTCTGTGTCCTTGATACAATTAAAATGCCTGAGTTAAAAATTTCAAATAAACCTCCTATCAATCATTCAAGTGAAACAAGAATAATGACATCATCCTTATCATTAAAGAAAAAGAATGACAGATTGAGCATTCAGTATTCCATTGGTGCAAAGTAAACACCTCCTCAAATGACCAATCATCGACTTGGTCCTTTTTGTCACCGCTTCTTGGAGACCATATCAAACCCTCCAACATGCCAGTAAACTTATCCATTTTATCTCCCAGAACAGCCAATTCCCTCCACCCTCTCTGCCCTCGCATCATCTCATCCATCCTGCATTAATAACAATGGAACATAAATTAAACACTGTTCACAGCCTTTCTCACTTTATTGAGTTTATAACTATTTTTGTTCCAGTAATATAACTAAGATAATTTGGTTCCAAAGATCCTGGCTAGAGTGACTATATAAACTCTATAACAGCCAAAACCTTAGACTGATATGCAAGCACAGTCTCCGACTTTTTGAAGCCTACTTAACTTATTATAAGCACGGCTTTTACAACAAAATTTTAGATGGGGCGCAAAACCAAGAAAATGCAAAATGAACATTACCTTTTGGAAGGATGCTAAGGTACATTAATCAGCACATTTTTTTAAAAGCATGGGCATGCAGATATGTGTATCTCTAGGAGTAAAAAAATTCTCTTCGCAAGATGGAATAAATACGAGAACCTAGCTTGCAGGCTTACTCCCTCTGAGCAATAAGAATGTGCATCCCTTTATCTTTTCCTCCAGGTAGTGTCTGTGTGAACCTTATTCTCGAGGGACGAGGTAATTTTCCAAATTGTAGGTGCCATGATTTCTTGGGATATTTGACCTTGTTTCATAAGTATCATCTTAAATATCATAGCATAATTGCCAATTCCTGAAGTGGTTTATTTGGTCATTGCAATCTTTCATTTGAACTGTCCTTGATGAAATGTTACACTCCTTAATATGTTTCTTACAAATAGAAACAAGCATAAAACGAGGAATTTATAAAATATAGGTCCCAACTTATCAAATATGATTATGCTCGAATATGATAAGCAGAAAAATTAGATAATAGATATTATGTTCCTTTGTTATAGATATTACAAGAGTGACACAGTAGTACTGCAAAAGGGCTAAAATCTAAAAATACATAATGGATATGCAGAATAGGGAAAGAAATAATTTTAAGCAACAGAAATGTCAAGTAAATGACCTGAAAAAGGCTTTCTCAACTGAAGTTCCAATATCACCAGCCAAATATGCTTCATGCCTGAGCACTTGCTGATGAAGATACTTAGCACAGAATTTGGCAACCACCTTACCTGAATTATTTGATGGATTTACAAGAGAAACCGCAAGCTAACTTAAAGAAATTATTGTCTACTTTGAATGATCCTAAATCCAATACGCTAAGAAACTTGTCTATATTATGGTCTATTCAGAAGGCAGTTTATTTTCTTCACTACATCAGATATTAAAAAAAAAAAAAAAAAAAAAAAAAAAAAAAAAAAAAAAAAAAAAAGGTATGTATTTGACATCCTTTTGTCCAAACTAAACATAGACTGACATAGAGCGACTTAGCAGGGCAACAACACGATAGATCAGCTAAATGGTGAAATACAGAGTCTTACAGACATACTGAGGAAATTAACAACACATATATATAAATGGAAATGTGGTATGGAAAATGAACTAGCAACAATAAATGAGATGCGGACTTCAAGTCCACATATAGACATACGAAAAATTAAAACGATAAAACAGAACATTGGAACTAGCTCTCAGCTAAAATCGTATTAGAAATAATTTTCAGAGTAATCTTGTGCAAAAACACCGTCTTTCCCTCTCTCCATGTTGATGACGGTCCAAGATAATGTATCTTATAACAAATAAAAAAATGTTTTATACACATGTTGTTCCTAGAAACTAAATAGTACAACAAGAAAGGGGAAGCTTCTCATTAAAGTGGATATCTTTAAAAATAAATTGTCGTCGACCATACATCTTATCTTATACAAGCATCACCCTGCAGCGGGACCAAGCGATTAGATTCCAAAAGCTGAGATGAAAAACTTAAATTACCGCACAGTCTACTAACACTGAATATATTCTCCAACTTTGAACGTTGAAGTACGAGTTGGATAAAAAGACACTATTTTCTTGGTTTCAAGCAACATTGTACTGAGACGCTGCATGTCATTTGTATTTGAATTTCCATAAGCTAAGAAGCACAAATTCGGATAAAACAGGCTATGGGTACATCGATACAAATTTTTTTTAAAAAATTTTGCAAAAAATTTCATAGGTCATAAAACTCGACATAATATTATTACTATAAATAACATTAAAATAGAGGCCCGACAACAAAAAATAAAATAAACTACTAAATAATTCTATCTCAATCCTTAATTTAATTAGATTAACGTATAATTGATCGGCACAATTTTACATGTATTAAAACTTACATGGTACTAGGTACTAAAAGTTTTAATATCATTATCTATTTCCAATAAGAAAACCATAGTCATCAACTATTAGCACGGTTTTGCATGTATTAAAAGTTTTAATACTATTGCCTATTTTCAATAATAAAACTCTAAGGGTGTGTTTGATTGCAAGCATGGAACTTGCATAGGAAAAAATAAGTTCTACGCAAAGTTCTAGAACTTAGTTGCGTGAAATTTGTCAATAAAATGTAGATTTACTTAATTTTCAACCTAAAAAATATTGTATGTTTTCATTAGTGGGTAGATAAGAGAGGGAAGATTACCTGAAAAATAAAAATCTACTTCCCACTAAAGAAAATATTTTCCTCGATTTTTGAGAAAAATATGATCATGTAACCAACTTTTGAAAAATATTTTCATGGAAAAACGTAAATCAAACATATCAAAAATAGGAATTGGAGTGGAAAAATAACATTTTTCATAAAAAAATAAAGTCAATCAAAAACACCCTAATTGTCAATTAGTCTAAAACTCTAGTTGACAATTATTTAAAATTATATATTTTTTCAATAATAAGTGTAAATTGTGCAGTGAAAACTAGTTTACTTTCTTTAAATTTGTTAATTAATAAATATTATATGTTTTCAATAAGTTATAAGTTATATCAATAACAATAGTTATCTATTACGTAAAAAAACTTCGACAGCCAATAATAATGAGTTTTACAAGTTTTCAAAACCAATAAAACTCATCTTCTTCACGTGTCTTAACGTGTCCAATACGTATAAGAAATTTCAAAAATATAAAAAACATAAAATAATTAAAAAAAAGGTATCACATACTTATTAGAGCATGTCCATGCTTATCCAAGCTTGGATGTATCCATACCCAATATGCAATAAGTTTACACATAACTGTGCTTCTTAGCCGAATTTGCAGAGTCATGGCACTAGACCCAACAAGCATCTATAACAAGTCAGTAAACTCTTCATTATCCAAACTAGATGTAGTCGTTAACGCATCTGTTTTGCAACTATAAAAACTCAAGGAACCCAAGACAGGTGATAAATGCATACAATTCAACAAATTATTTTCTTCTGGTTGCTTGTCTCTTTAGACCCAAACACATGCAAACACAAATATATAAAACAAACAAATAAAATTACCTCCATGACCGTCATAAACACCAAAAAATGAAGTGGAAGCATCCAAATCAGGAATTGCCGCATGCTAAGGGGAAAAAGAAATAGTCACTAACTATTGAAGTGCTAAATCCACGAGACAAAATCATAATCAAACCATATTAGAAAATAATAATCAATGGCAACAACTTAAAACAGTGACAGAAGACAAACTTAATGGGGTACAAGTGCATGATGTCTAATAGAATCTTAACTACTTACAGCATCTTCCATTGTAGAACGCCATCCTTGCATTGATGATAAGCCATATCTAAGCCGGCTATTCTCACCATCTTCGGAAAACTTCTCTGTTTTAGGGGTACTGAGATATATACCCATCTGTTTTAACTGCTATTAGCCCAACATAAATTCAAATCAAGATCTTCAGCCAAAAGAATCAAAAGATGGAAAATTAGGGAAAATCTAAAAAGCTTGCAAATTTCACTTAGTCAATAATTCCAAGTACAATTTCTAGATACTGTCAACTCATTTCAATGCCTGAAAAAAAATAAAAAAAAATTCTCCAAACATGACAATCAGAATGAATTGATGTCCATAGCATCAAAGATTCAAACTCAAAACTCCACAGATGATAATAGCTTTCATAAAAACAAATACCCATAACTGTTAAAAAAAAAACAGAGGTAAGGGAAGAAAAAGAAAAATCAAAGCCATAACCCACAAAAATCTATAAAACGCCATTTCGAAATTATTGTACATTTTTTGTATTTTTCAGTTTCAATTCCTAAAAACATGTTTTGCAATAAACTCAAGCAATGGCTAATATCAAACAAAAATCGAGCTTGAAAATTAAACCAACTGTAAGAAACCAAATTTAACCTACAATCAACATAGAAGATCAAGAAAGGCAGCAGAAAAAATAATCACATGAAATCGCTTACAAATATACTATTTCGCTTTATAGTATCGAAAATTTACAAGAACAAGACGATACCAAAAAGGGTTTATGCAGTAGCATCATTTTCTACTTACATGCCCAATAACAACCCAACAATTTTGACAATAAATGAACACACTTAATCCTTCTTTTCAGTGAAAACAAGGAAAAAAAAACAAAAGCCAGAAAAAGTTTAAAAAATGGATATAATTATTGGTGAAAGAATTGAAGATGGAGACAAGAGGGGGGAGAGAGAGAAAGTTTGGTATGCCCGTGTTCATGAATGGTGATTTTTTGATAAACATGAATGAGATATGAATAATATGAATTTGCTGTCACTATTATAGAATATTATTTTTTATTATCTGTAAAGATTCTGAATCTCATCTATTCTGAATTCTGATTACTGGTTTTAATCCACTCTGCTAGTTCCGACAAGAAGGATAATTTTTCTTCGATCTTTTGACAACTTATACAACATAGTAAAGAAAGGATTGGACATTAGCCATTAGGCATAATTTACTCTCTCTCTCTCTTTTTTCTCAAAGAAATAAAATGTAAGTTAGGGACTAATTAAAACGTTTTGAAGATTAATAACCAATTTGAATATTTAATATTTAAACAAAATGCATGTTAAAGTTAAAAAATTAAGATGTATTTTTGTAACACAAAATATTTGTAAAATTAAAAATTATTTTTTAACACGAAATGAAATGTATTTTTGAAACACGAAATAATTGTGAAAATAAAATGTATATATAATTATTGCAAATGAAAAACAATTTGAGTCAAATTTTAAACATCTATTGTTTGAACTAAACAGTCCTTCCTACAATTTTTGTAAAAATATTGGACGGGGATTGAACGATGTAAAAATAAGATTTTAAGTGTAAAATTATTTTTATCTAATTTAAACTCTAGTTTCGATAATTTCCATCCAAAAGAATGAAGTAGGTAGATATATATTAAATGTTAAAAATGTTGAAGACGACGAATTCATACGTCAAGAGTAACATTTGTTCTTATATTCATTTATCGATAGTAGCATGT